TTTGGACACCTCCAAATAATCAAACAGTTGTGTGTATTCATTTGACCAATGCCATTCTGAGATAATATCGTAGATCTAGAAACCCTTTATGATTTATTTATTAATTTTTTGTGTTGTGCCAAATGTAATGCTGGTATTCATATGTATATTCAGCATGAGATGAAAGTATGCCAAATGTCTTGTACATAATTAGAAGGTAGTGATAATGACTTTTAAGAAAATAATTCAAAAATACTCTTGATTCCGTGCTTACCAAGATTTTGTTTTGTGATTAAATATTATTGTTTTGTGGCATAATGTAAAGAAACTACACTTAATGTCACAAAGGAAGGGTATGTCATCCCAGTTCTTTATGGTAACAAAAGAACTGAATGGTTGATCCACCATTGTAGATTATATCCTGGTAATTTGTTGAGAATTTTGGGGTAAAATACATATATTTCTGTCAGTTTCCAAAGAATTTCATTGAATGGCCTCCCTAGTCTCATGTTACAAATAAAATGCTTTTCTTGCGTAAGTTCTGTGGAAACTGACAGAAATGACTTAATGTTGTGGTAAGATGGTGTTAAAAGAAGCACCCTTATTGTACAGTTACCTTTTGATAAGGTAAACATGCCACATCTAATTTATTCAAAGGCTTATTGTAAAAATGTAATTTAACATCTTTTTCATTTAAATTTCAAACTATTTATCAATAAACTTGTCAAAATAGAGTTATCAATAAGTTTCCTAAATTAGGGGGTGACTATGATTTGGGTAATAATCTACATTACCTTACCTTGGGGAAACAAGCGGCATCATTTTGAATGACCGGCATGTATATAAAGTCCAAAACTGCAGAGCAAAATATCAAAATATTTCCTTACTTTCAAAATTTCTAATTATGTAGGTAAAATTCCCAAACAATGACTGCAGAAAATCCTGGGATCACTTGTTTGTCTGACTAACTCACTTGGGAACAAAAACTTGAAGTACCTCTAGGATGCTGCCAAGGACTATCATCTTTTTTCATGTAAAACTAATGACTGTTTCATTTTAGCAACCAAAATGTAGCTTTACTAAAATGAAGGCTTAAACCCTCACAAGCCCCCACTCAATGAATTAAAATTTGTGTTTATCTGTGTTTCCTCTTTGCAATAAGAAATATCTAAAAACTTGTACTGATTGACTGGGTAGTTTACATGATATCTTTTACCTCAAAAATAATTCTGGTGACTGTCTCAGGGGGCAACGCTAAGGATAGCGCCTGCTGCGCGCTGGGTAGGCCAACCCGCCAAGCAGCTGTGTGAAGTCGGTGGCCCTCCCAGAGCACCCAAGTGCGGCGGGCAGAGAACGTATGACGCCCAACTTTACTTCCTGTTGCCTAGGGGAACGTCCATTGTGGAAACACCTTAAACGTAGTTATAACTCACGGCATGCAGGCGAGTCTATCTCTACTGTCGCTGGCCCCAAGCTGGCAACCGGGCAACCCGCCCACACATGTGTATGCGGTACAGTACAACTACGAAAGTAGAAGGGACCCGGTAGGTTCATGTAGCATGCAGAGATATGAATCTAAAACAACATAACAATGAAACACAGATTTTTAAGTAGACTAAAGATAATGCTACAAGCCTCATGTGATACTGCTTTTGATACTCATTTTAAATTTCCAATCATATCTACTCTTTGAAGCATATCTTTCTCTACTATACTTCTACTGAAAATTATTTAGCTGTTTGGCTTGCAAGCAAAAGCATTTTTAATCTAGCTTTTGTTTTCTTACTATAAGAAAAATGAAAATTTGCTGTGTAGTCCTTACCCTACCTCCTACTGTGCGCTTATTTCCACGAGACGTACTATCTGGTAGAGTCTGATGTAAAAATCCATTTTGCTTTCTCTTTCTATATACATATAGCAGTAAGAAGTTTCTCAATCTTATATGAGACCAAGAAAGTGTTAATTGATGTATAATGTAGAAATGTTATAAAGCTGTTTATGTTGATTTTTCATTTTGTTGTTCGGTCATGTTGTGAAATATGAAAGAGAATCACAATACCCACATGTGTTCCAATCTGAATTAATGTAATGTTAATATTAAGTGGAAAGCTTTATATAAATTGTACTGAGTCATTTGTAAGCTTTAAGCATGATGAAATTAATGAAATACAGAATACTGCTCATGTGTACCTTCACAATATACATTTTTAAGATCCTGAACCCACTGGAAATTATTATTCTAAATGGCAGCCTGTACGACCCAACCTGTTATTAAAACAACCCATACCTGAGTGCAACCTGTGAGGGTAGTGTTTCAGGGTAATGTTGCCAAGAACAGCCACCTTTCATTTTTAACTTTGGCCCTTCTTTGACATATTGTCTATCTAGCATGACAAAAGTCCATATCAAATGCATGTTGGTATTTAAAGTAAGGAACAGTTTTAAATAATGCTCATAAAATATTAATCTGGTGCCCAGAGGTGTATTTCTATACAAATAGGTACAGCCTGGAAACATAACAGGGAAGAGAAAAAAGAAACAAACTATTATCCTATGACTTATGACATTATTTGAAATTCTCCCAGCTATCCAAATGGCGAAGGTAACCAAGATGAGTTTCTACTGTTACATGTTTTGGAAAGTTGCTCTTCTTGGCGTCAATAACTTTCTTGAAAAATTCTTCGTTTTTTTGGAGATCATAACGATAACCTTTGACTTGTTCCTAAGACAATAAGAAGTGAACAAATTAACAAACAGTAGTAAAAAAGGAGGAAACATTATTAATAAGGAAAAAATACAAATACTTACTTTGCTTAAGTAATGGTGTCGAAGCCACAACATATTCTGCTCCTCTCTCTGAATGTCTTCAATAAGGTCCCTTCTCATCCAGTAGCGTATTTTATTAGGCACCTTACGCTTCCTGAAAATAATTTCAAATTGTCAGAAACTAAATTCAAATCGTGAGTTGATCTCATTCAGACGATTCAATTAAAAACCATCATTTCTAGGTGCAGCAGTCAACACACACAAGGTTAGGTTAACATCTAGACGCATTGCAATCTTACCCACTAAACATGTTGCCACGGTACTGCCCTTTGAAAAAGTTAACTAAAGTAAGCCTCATTTTAACTTCTCTTTAAATAATATCAGAATCAATATGGATTAAGTATAACGTAAACCGAAATAGCAGAAAACGGTTTTGGATTGTTTTGGCTTCTGCTCATGCGCCGCGACTATCTGCACATAGCTCTCACTCACATTATTTTCAGTTACAGCTCCAGCACGCTATTTTCAGTTCGATCTCTCGACTTGCTCGACTGAGTCGTTTCCTAGGGAAGACCAAGACCGCGCCCAAACCCAAACCACAAGCCACTACGGCGCGCTTTTCGGCGTTTTTCCTGCCTCAAGATTTGACGCGACCCCTCAAGTTTACTTTTCATTCCGAAGGACTTATGACTAGAGAATGGCTGCCAACTTATTTGAAGTAAAATGAAAGGGTCAGTGAGGGCAAATATGACCATAGTGCACAGTGTTACAGGGAGTGCACTCCCTATCCCAGGTAGCAGAACTGCATTCTGATTGCGTTATATATCCAATTTTCAGTGCTTCAGGCGCATTTTAGACTGGACATACAGGCACGATGCAATTTTGCTGGGAAGAAGAACGAAACTATCAAAAATGACCAGAAACAAACAGCTCAAGTGTCAATCTCTAAACACTTTTTGGTATGGAAAGGTTCATAGAAACTTAAGGTGCCCCCACAATGAGCGCGAGGCGATGCCGGGTAGGCGATGCCGTGCAGCCAGGCCGTGCTTGCAGGCCGTGCCGGTTGCGCGGAGCTACGCCTCCGATCTTCTAAGTAAAGCTGCATTCGCATAAAAGTCGGTAAACCTGCCGGCACTGCCTGCAAGCACGGCCTGGCTGCACGGCATCGCCTACCCGGCATCGCCTCGCGCTCATTGTGGGGGCACCTTTAGGCAATGTCACAAAAGTGTTAAAATGTGATCTGCAAGCTTGTTTCCGTCACGTTTTCATTCTTTGTGTTCTTCTTCTCGACTCACGAGAATGGCCGCCTGAAAGGTGGGCAATTTGCACCACAAAACCCCTCAGAGTACCAAGGCTTTGTTGGCAGAGTTGGTCTTATCCTATCTTTCCCTAGCTTACCTATTTGACAGTGGGTCTTTATTCCTATCTTTCCCGAGCTTCCATATCAGCCACGCCTTCGGTGGCTTGAGACGGGGATCTCTCTGGATGCGCTGCCATTCAACATTAGCCGCATCAATGCTACTAACCAACTCGTATATTTTACTTATTAAAAGAAATAAATAACGAAGCTACAAGGTCTTGCCTTTCACTAGTATTTTGAAGCCGTCTGTCAGTTTGAACACGTGGGCGAGGCAGCCACGTATCGCAGCCATTAGATGCAAACAGATCGAACGGCTTGTTATTATCCCACAGCCTTCTTGGTGCACAACTGCATGTCGGACGCTCACACGTGCGCCAGCACTTCGTCGCATCTGATACCAATGATCGGCTACCCGGCTAACTAACAGTGACCCGAAGTACCCGACGACTACAGACCAACTTCTCCTTCGTCTTCATCTCTCATAAATACATTGTGCATGTATGCTCGTATCAGCGCCATCTTCTATCAACAACCGCTCCAACGACACAAATAAAATACATTTTATTCTGTACAGAAATGAAGAATGAAACTTAAGCGTTTATTCGATATTCGACATTGTATTGACTTAGACGTCAGCGGCCCCCCAGCATGCGGCCAATGCAGCTCCAGAAGGCGACTACCACCGCACACTGCGGACAGGCAAGCCTCGCAGTCCTCCAGTGCTTTGTGTGTTGTGGTTGAGTGGCCAGTGCCCCAATTTCAGCTCGGTGCGCGAGCCCCCCCCCCCCTCTCCTCGCTCCTGCGCGACCCAAACGGGGCCATCGGGCGGGCCAGACCAGACCGGTGGGATCGGCGGGATGATGTTGTGTCGGTGGTGGTGTGCCAGGAAGGGCTACTGCAGAGACTGCAGGCAGACCTTCGCCGCAGGACCTCGCAGAGCTCGCCAGTCTCGCCGTCGAGTCACACGGCCGTGGCACAGCGGGGCGACCAATGCAGGTCCGCTCAATGATGGCACATCAAGGCGCATTGGCCGGGTCTCCCCGCTTGCGTCATCAATATCGCAGATGCACTGGATGATGGTCGCCCCCCCCCCCCCCCCTCGGCCCACGCACACAGGCCGAGCTTGTCCTCCAAGCGGCCTGCTGCACTGCTGCATCGGAGGTCATCAGAGGGAATTGCCATATTTCGGTT